AGAAACGGTTGAATATTAGCAAGTTGTTTTTAAAAATGTTTTAAGGTTATACTATGAAACGACACCGCGAGAAGTATTAATTATTTTTGATAATTTCAACGATGGAGTGTTAAGAAAGAGTGATAAAAGCAGTTTACCGAGTTCAATTTATTTTTAGTCTATATGCAAATGGCATCATGTTGCCGGTAGACACAGAAACAATAAAATGACATGAACATGAAAACAATGTCGTTGGATTTGGTTTGGCTTGATTTGTTTGGTTTAACAGGAAATCAACACCTATTTGGGTTATTTAATGCCGGAATTATTTAGTAATAGAAATCAAGAATTGGAAGACGATTCAAAATAAAAGAATGACTTTATACACTTGATTAAAGAATAACTTTAAATCGCGGTTTGGGTACAAAGTTTTACTAGTACTGTAGGAGAATAATATGGTTAAGATTTTGAGACGATAATTACATGTAAAGACAAGCTTCTTTCAGGAATCGGATTATTTTGGATGGATTGTCTTTGTTGAAGAGTTCCTTTAAGTTATTCACTTGATAACATTATGTTCGAATTGGATTTTGTTGTAACCTGGAAAAGGTTACTGAATGAGGAATAACCAAAACATGGTTGGAAATGAAATGGTAATCTTTAAAACATCAACAAAATCCAATACTCTCCAGCGGCGTGAAGTAGGATAGCATATTAAACCCCTCCCCGCTACTTACAATAGTGTCCAATGTATTTATGAGGATTGGGACTTACCCATAGGTAAGGGTATATAACAGGATTAGACAAATCACTCGGGTATGTTTCAATGTCTATTTTTCTTCACCTCACATTTTTCACTGACTTTAAGTGCTTAAAATAACCCCAACGTATGTGCAGCAAAAGCTTTTCCTCCGTAGCTGAATTTAAGATATCAGCCCCTATAAGGTGGACTTCGAGCGATCACGTCGTTCTCAATGCGTTGCGTATTTCGATTGTTTTTTTTTAAATTTATACATCTCCTTATAACGAGTTCAAACGTCAAAGAATAATGCCCAGTCGTTGTCCGTTGCGTTGGGTTCAATGTCAGGACGGTTTGAATGTTTGCCTCACGTTAGGAGTCTTCCCCGTCCCCCAACGAAGAGTGATAGATTCCCTTTGTAGCTCTATCATTTACTGCATAAGTTGAGCAATCAAATCGATGGTTCCGGCTGGTGCAGACGCTAAATCTTATTTTCTTAAGATAGTTTCCTGTATTCTCAAGATCCTTTTCACAGCGCCATTTAAAATAACTACAACGGAAATTTTAGTAGTAATTCTCAATGACTTTATTCTCCTATCAATACGGTATAAAAACAAAGATATATCTAGCTGTTTATATAACATTAGGACGAGGTATCTTATCTCTGTCTGTGGAAGTCCACCATTATCCGAGACCTTCCATTTCTACTCAACAAAGTGGGGTGGCTACATCGAATCAATTGTTGCATCTAATACAAGGAATTTTGTGTCACTATGTCGTGCTAAAAACCTTTTTCTCTTCAGAGTCCATCTTGCACATTCACAAATCTACCATTCGATTGTGCATTGAATATTGCTGCCATATCTTGTCTGGTTCTTGACAAAATCCAAAGAAGTATCTATAATGTAATTGATCCTGACTTAGCATTTTGACTTTAGCCCTTTCTTTCCGACGTGACGTGGCTTCTCTCATGGCAACTGCTCTGTTGACTTTTTCCCTGGTAACCTCGACTTAAGCGTGCTAGTAGATTCGCAGCTAGGTTCCACCCGTTTACTGTTGATGTAGTTAAATGCAACCGCCACTTCTACTCCAGCAGCTTCTTTTCTCGTACTTCCATCCCGTGGAACTCCCTTCCGTTTACTTGCTTCCTCATAAATACAATTTTCAAAAATTTAACTGCTACGTCAATCGCCATCTTTTTACTTGAATCCCGTTCATTTTTTGCCTTTTCCTTAAACCTACCTATTCACAAACTTATCTTTTGCTCTCTGTAAACCCCTGCGTGCTAGTGGCATTCCCGCCTTCATGGGGGGAAATGATTAAAAAAGAAATGCAATAAACTATAACGGTTCTTTATTTTTCAGTAGGTATGTGTAATTTGAGGGTCTGGTCAACGCAACCTCCTCCCATCTTATATTTATTTATCCTGGTTTGCACATTATTATTATAGGAATGATGTTATACAGTTTGTTGTCTGTTTCGATGTTTCAATGCTCCTGCGATTTATTTGTGATGAATTTATTTATGGAAGATTTGAAATCGCTATGAGACTTTTTTTTTATTTGAATGATTAATGTCTAGTGACCTCTTTGCCTCTGTGGCTAATAATAGACAAAGAAATAAAGAAAAATAGGAATAAAGAACACACCATCAGTTGTAAGAAGACAATGTATCACCACTATCAAGAAGACCAGCTCAAAAGGCGAGTTAAGATTTGGAAATGTTAGAATAATGAAAGTACAGACATTTAACTATCTGGGAAATGTTTTAACAGACGAAGGGAGAAATGACAAAGAAAATGCACAAAATGCCTTCCTAACTTCATAAAACTCAATTCTCGCTTGTGTAACGTCTCCCCGTCTCCATGCTTTCCAGCCAACTTTAATCTGAAAGAATTTAAATGTAATATCAAACGCTATTTTATCGTGCTGAGTGCTCTTTTCTTTTTCTCCTTATTATTAATGTTTGTGTTTCTAATTCCTCTACACTCCGTAACCCCTTTCATGATAGTGGCTTTACTGTATTGCTTTGGGTCGTAACGACTAAAAGAAATTATGGATTGTACTCCAACCGAATGATGGGATAAAGAACAAGTAGGAACCCTCTATAAATCTAACATGTTTCAGTTTCATTAAAGCTCTATCTGAGCAAGAAATGTGGAAGTGAAAATGAAAATTTTGTTATTCTGGATTTTTATGCTGTTTGATTTTCATTGGTTAAGCAAACGTCACGTGCATCTGTCTTGTCAAGCGACATTCGGGTGTATAATTTAGTATGACAAAATGTTTTTACACTCACACAAAACACCCCCCATCAACGTGCGGACAACTGCCAAACATGGAAAAATGTCTACTATACCCAGACGCCCGCCCGTATGCACACACCCACACCCACACACACATCATTCACATACACAAGCAAACTAGACAAAGGTAAATATTTATCATACACACGAAAGCTGCTTGACAATATAAATGGACATAGGGTGTTATTAACCACTGAAAGACAAACAAACCAAAATTTAATAATAGCAAAATTTTCGTAAAAGTTGTCTAAATGATGCGCATGCGCGTACACACATACAAACACAAACACAAAAAGAAACAAAAAAAAAGCGAATGAATAAACATACATTATCATCCGAATCCTGCACAAGTAAACTTAAATTATGTACACACATACACACATGAATTATTCACTCAAACACTACTTGACAAGACAGATGCACGTGAGGTCTGCTTGACCAATGGAAAACAAACAATACAAAAATTTAAAATAGCAGAATTTTCTCTTTCTCCTTATTTCATTATCTGATGAAGATTAAGTATAAACAAAACCTGTTAACTTCATAAAAGTTTCCTATTTGTTTATCACATCATTTATTGCTGGGCAAACACTAAATTTAGTCATGTAACATAATAGCACGCTTACTCCAAATTATAATTACATGGTAATTATGAAAAAATTACAGTGCAGTGTTTGAACACTCACAAAACAGTTTTCATTAATATTTAGCAAATGGCAAATCCAATTTCCTGGAGCTTTCGGAATACCTAGTTATAGTCATAATATTTGTGTGAAGTACAAACAATTTTATTTGTTTCCGGAAAGTAAATTAAGTCTATTCTTACATATTTCAATTTTTGAAACTCATAGATTCATTTTAATATTGACATTTTAATTTGATTTTTCAAAACAAAAAACGTTTCTTTTTCATTTTTATTTATTTCATAAAGATGAAATATGTCAATAGGCTTGTCCGAAAGTCTTGTCACCCCTACGTAAAAGTAATAAGTACATAAAAGTAATAAGTACATAAAAGTAATAAGTACATAAAAGTAATAAGTACATAAAAGTAATAAGTACAATAGAACAAAAAGTAATACCATAATACAGAGCACATGTACTGAATTCAGTTTATTAACTTTCTTTGACGCTGTCATACATCTGGAAGGTCTATATGAACACTACCATTTTTGTGGCACAAAATCATGCGACGCCATGTCCTGTGTGATATTATACGAAACTGTGACTTGTTGATTGTTGCAAAGGCTCTTAGAACGTCGTCCTGATGGGTATTCTGTTATAGTTCATGTGGAACTCTCTCCTTGATAAGAAAGTTGTGGGGTTTGACAAGACTTTCGGATCACCCTGTATAATGAGGAAATCAGGAACTAAATGATATATTTTTGCTCTTTTAATCCCATTCTCGTCCTAAACGTGTATATAAGGTTTTTACAGAAAGTGTCATTTTCAGACAGGGACGTATAAAGACGTCCAAAACACAGCGAACCAAAAATCAGCTTCTCGCGTGTTCATATTGATTCTTTCTAAGCTCTTCTTAGTCAATTCATACGTCCGCTAGAGATGTTAGTCAACGCTCAGGTACTTTAAGCGCCTCAGCTTCTTAGTTATTATATGAAAAAACAAATAAAGATATTCCTCTCAAAATGAGACGTTTTTCCCAAAATTGTTAGATACGGGAAGGCGTTAAATCAGTCATTTATGTGCCATGCCTGATACACACTTATGCGATCATGTATCTTTCCATACATGATTGTCGAGCCAGATCTTTTGCCCGCAGTTTGTTGCCATTTCTTTCTGCGGTAGACCAGTTGCCATCCAAGGCTATGAAACCTGGTCTGTCCTGCTATTCACTCATAGTTGGGGGTGGGGGTGAAGAGGAATCATACCTTTCCTAAGAGTATAGCACGTAAGTGAATGTAATAAATGCGGTGTTTGATAACTCCACGGCACTAATGCAGGGATTTGCTTTACAGTCAAATCACCGGTTCCCGTACGATTACTGAAGTTAAGCAATGCGGAGCTTGGTGAGTATCTAGATGAGTGACCCCTTGGTAATACCAGGTGCATTAAGATTGAATGTGGCGCTGGTATAATGAGATAATGGCTCGTAATTATTTACCAGTGAGCCGAGTTACAATTCTCATTGGTTTCGTTATTTTTACTTAGGAAAGGTATGATTTCAACTATTCTCCCCCAGGCTTAATTATCAAGACATTTATCACTAAACCAGTATTATCTCCAAAATATCTACAAATATATGGCTTTAAATAACCTGAAAAATGTTGATAACCCATAGAAAGCGAATCAGACAATAATGCTGTGACAATGTGACACGACACGAACAAACAGTGAATTATATAAAAAAACAACAACAACAAAGACGTTTGAATGAAACTGGTATCGTCGTTTATTACATAATGTCATACAATAATATAAATATGAAGCGAAATTTTTTAAAAGTGTCAACAATAAATACAAAGGAGGGGAAATATTTTACAGCCAACAAATTGGGGTTTGTAGAAATTAAAATGTAAATAAAACAAGTTCGATTAGTTGAGTTAAGGAAAATAAACTTCGTTCGGGAAAAAGGTATGAAAGAAAATCTAGAAATAATAGACTATTCTCATAAAAAAGGTTTCGGTTTAATCCATTGCTGGGTTATTTTTTAACAGAAAATCTATTAAACAGGATTTTTTTAGAGTGGTCAGGTGAGAGGGAGGGACTGCGGATAGAGGTGAGACATTATGATTATCGTGCCGGTAACAATTTGACGTTTAAATACAGTTTTCAGCTATCCAAATTCAAGTAATTGTCGGCAAAACGGTTATTTATAGACTGACTTCATAATTGCAGACTGTTCGTTGAATAGTCCATGATGCAAATAAAAATGTTAATTACGCAGTTTTTTCTTAACATAAAATTGGTCAACACTAAAGGTGGCTGGGGGTTTCAAATCACATTATAACACCATTCTTTTTTTTATATCCATATTAATACATTATTTCTTTTGCGTATCCCTCAGAAAAAAGAAGGGTTTTATGTAGTTACGTCAGCTTTACCTTATGCAGGGTTTGAATATTAAAAACATTTTGATTATTGTCTAAATCTGCCTTTTTTTTAAACTCTAAAAAGAGTAAAAATTTCATGAATTTTTCACAAATGATACTTATATTTTTAAACAATGATTGTATTGTTCATTTATGAACAGTGGCGATGATGTCGATTTTAAAAAGTTTTATAGATTTTGCAACGATACATTAAGAAACATTAGCACACAAGCGCGTTAAATCGCACGTGTTACATACGCATAAATACAGCCAATTAAAAATAGCATAGGATTTAGTCTTTTGCTTTAAAAAAAGAGGAAAACATGCTTGCGTTTCGTTTTTTTTTATTTTTAATTGGTAAAATAATTAAATTGAGCTGAGTTTCTACAAAATGTAATTCTGCATAGAAATCAATGAAACATAATCAATGACACTGGTCTGTGCACACATCGACTTTCTTTTCATGAAGACACTATAAACACCCAATAACAGACGTGCTACATATATTTATATATTTACTCAAATAAAGTGTAAAAGCACAAACCATAATATGAATATGGTTAAATGCACATCAAAAATCTGAGGTGCAAACAGAGGTATGAACTTATAGATATGCCAAGATTAACACACACGTTTATACGTATTTGAGAACACATCTTGAGCGGGCCATAAATAGATGACCTAAATGTTATGTGGCATGCGACAAATTTTAATATTCTAAATGCTCTTTTTGTTCTATAGAGGGAATCTTCATACAGGAAATACATAGAAGCACCATGGTTGTGGTTCTAGTATCTTAAAGATGAAGAGTCTTTTGCTAGTGGCCATACAAAAGGGGAATTAGAAGTGGTTTGGTACGACCTGCTGGGGCTTAAGGACGGTGGGTCACTGCTAGTTCATATCGTCTGTGTAGATAGTGTTTAGAGTTGTGAGCAATGAGTATGCTGCCCAACAGCCCCATTTCTTTCAATAGTGTATCTGGATCAATGACATCGTCTACATCAAGGTACTGGATACGGTAATCAAGTCCTAACCCGATGGTAGGCAGCACAGATTAAAACAAGGTCTTTTCTTTTTTCTATATGATCAAGGAGTGTCTTGCCAAAAACTATCACGATCATGGCATGTTCAATCAATCGCCTTCTTGTTCTTCTGATGTGAATCCATTGGACTATATCAGAGAATTCGTCGTGAGAAAGATGAATTAACGGTTTCGCAGTGTAAACGCTTCGTAGAAGGCCGTATTATGGCCAGTGCAAATGGGAACCAAAAGATCTGCTTATAAAATCGCTTTTTTGCATGCATCGCTGCCGTACCCGGGACTGACGATGGTTTTATTGAATAATCTTTTCCTGATTTTATCGTTTCTCAGCCTTTTGGCCGAGATAAATACGTTGTTACTGTTCACTTCTCATTTGACTTTGGAGAAGGTACTCGGTCTCGGGGATTGCAACACCGAAGAAACACCTTCCCTCATTGCATTAAGACAGGTAGTGTTGGGGGTAATATCAACGCCAGAGTGACAATAGTTCCGGGGACTGGCGCCAACTTTTCTCCTTTGCCCATATGTATATCCATATGTTTGTTCTCATAGAAAAAATGAGCCTTTTGTCACAAATGCCTTAGTGGGGAGGTCAGAAAATAAACTTTTACTGTTACTCTCTGGTAAACATTCGCATATTTTGGATGTAATGTTTTTTTATCTATTCAGTATATATGCCTTCCTCATAATTTGGGTACACTTATCCAGCTCACTTCACACACACACACACACACACACACACACACACACACACACACACACACACACACACACATATACACACACACACACACACACACACACACACACACATATATATATATATATATATATATATAAATCCTAGTGAGCCAGGAACTAGCTACCTAGGTTTGACCTAAATGGATCTTCAGCTTACACCGAAGATCCATTTAGTTGAAACATAGGTAGGTATTCCCAGGATCACTAGGATTTTTTATACTCTGCTCTACTTAGCGAATTGAGCACTTTCATTTTTTTTCTTATTTACTCGAATGTTTTTTTTCTCTCTCTCTTCTTTGAACTAGAAATTACGGCACTGGACGATTTTTTCAGCCTGCTGGGATGTTTTTAGTCTTTTTTTTCCCAATTTCTTTTCCCAGATACCTATTTGTTTTAATATATTATTATTTAAAAATTTTGTTATCCGAGTTTGTTTTTTTTTTGCACCAACCGAGTATAGTTAGTGAAATTATATATATATATATATATATGTATATATAACCAAATATATGGATATAGATCCGACAGTATGAAGAAAAATATACTGAAAAAAACAAACAAAAATCCTAATATACGATTATGCTGTTTTAATGTTTAATGTCAACGTCGGACGTTTCGGTCTAATAGACCATCTTCAGGACATATTCATAAAACATATTTAGCATAGACCATATACAATTCAACATGAAAAAAGACGATGGACATAAAAAAGCAATATCAATCCAAACAGATAACTGAAATCTTTTATAAGATCAGCGTTCCGTTTAAATATGATCACGTCGTCGTCACGTGGGCGATGTTGTGATATATATATATATATATATATATATATATATATATATATATATATATATATATGTACCAGCGCTTGGGTCCAGAGATCTTACATACTTTAAATACGAATAAGAAATCTCTTGTATGGGTGCAAGAAAAATGTAATAAAATGCTAAATCTTAGTGACTTGTCAGCAATCTTCAATTAAACATGTATAAAAGAAGGATTGCAGCCCAAATATACAATTATCTATATGTATATATGTGTGTATACGTGCATATATGTGTGTGTGATCTTACACACTTTATGTCCATAAAGATCTCTCTTGTGTGCATGCAAGAAAAATATAACAAAACGCTCTATCGTATTGGCATATCAGCAAGCATCAATTAAATATGTATAAAACCAGGGTTGCTGCCCAAATATATAATATATATATATGTGTGTATATATGCATATATCTACACGCGCACAAGCTCATGATTATAAACTATAATTTTGGAACATGCGTTCTCCAACAGCAATCGAAGCCGTGGCCTATACGGAACCGTCATTTGATCTGACATACTATACAACCTAGCATCTGCTTAGCAAAGTCCAGATTCAGAAGGAGTTGGCTGATATATACAGTCAACATCATGGTGTTTAGAGTGATCACTAGTGACGTCGATGTTATGTCTCCAATCATCTTTTCACGGGGTTTCACACTCAACATAGAGGCCTATATCAGGTGCCTTGAGGAGTTAGTTCTGCCCTGCATCAAGAGGGTAGCTGCTGGAATAACCTATTTCCGGCAACCGGACTTTGCAGCATACCATACAATCATGAAGATAAGGTCGTGACTCTCAGACAATTTTAGGGACGACATCGCCCTTTATATCTGCCCACCTAACTCCCCAGACTGTACCCACTTTTTATTATGTGTGGGGCGCAGTTGAGCAAGAGACCAGTAAAACTCTTTGTAACACCAAAGATGAACTGAAGGCAAGGATTATGGAAGCATTCACCAACGTAATCAAGAAAACAGTCCAGAAATGTTGCAGGAGATTCTGAATTCGTCTGGAGGCCGGGGTTACAGCCAATGGTGATTTTGTTGAATAAATTTACTATTTAGTACTTCAAGATATTTTTTTGTGTAATTTTGGTAAATATATCTGTTGAAATGTCTGGGTTATTTTAATTATTGCGTAAATTAGACGACAATTTATCCATCGCACATTATGTGTCTGTGTGTATGTGTGTGCGTGCGCGCGTGCGTAATTGTATGGATGGAGAATAGTATCAGAAACAGAAGTGGAGATGATAAGACAAATTGAAGAAACGAATCGCATTTTGCCGATGTTTGTTGGATTTGGCTTCTTTAGTCCGAAAGAACCAAAACCAACAGACGTCGGTGAAACACGTTGTTTGTAGCTTTGCCAATTTGTCTCATCATCTCCACACACACACACACACACACAC